AATCATACACACATGAAGCAATGCAGCGTTCAGTTACTGAGAGATCTAATCCTTAAAACGGGTTTGGCATGGACCAAATTATTCATTCATTATCCATTGAGAAAATAATATTCAGTCAGTTGTGTCAATACTGGGAAGAGTGGCTTGGCAATGAAGCTCTCTCTGATTCTGATTCTCGTGTGTGTTTGCTTTTTGAGGAGTAGCGATGACATTTATTCAGCAAAAAATGACAGAAATTGATATGTCTATTTCAAATAAGAGTATTCATTTCTTTGAAAACATCTTACTGAACCCAAACATTTGAAAGGGAGTACATATATAATCAGAGAATGACTGTGTGAACCATAGACTTTTTAAAAGCAGAAACAGCCAGCAAAAAAAAAAAAAAAAAATGTAATTATGGTTATAAAAATGAATAATGACAGAACAGAGCTTCAAAGTTCACCTTAATAAAACGAAGAGATATGAAACTTCATTAAACAATCCCTATGGAAGCCCATTACTGCCACATGAGACACAAAACATGCTTAGGTACATCTTATGACATGAAAAGTCATAGTTTTGACATAGCCTACTAAATCGAAATTATGACACAAAGTTATCAGTCATATTTATGTCATACTAAATCATAATAATTGGATTAAAAAGTCGAAACTGACAAAAACTTGCATTATGACATAAAGTCACAATTATGAGACCAAAAAGTCGAAATTGACAAAAAAAAGTCTAAGTAATTATTATAAAAAAAGTCACAATTATGACATACTAAGTCATTATCTCATACCAAATCACAATTATGGGATTAAAAAATTGAAATTGACAAAAAAAATCTAAATTATGACAAAAAGTCAAAATCATAAATCAAATTATGAGATTAAAAAGCCACAATTTTGACATAAAAAGTTTAAATTACTGGTCAAATTATGAGATTAAAAAGTCTAAATTATGACATTCTAGGTCAACATTGTCAAAAATAAATAAATTATGACATAAAAATGTAGAAGTTATTACATAAAAAGTAATAATTATGGCATACTAAGTCATAATTATGTCATACTAAATCATAATTATGGGATTAAAAAGTCATCAAAATTATGACAAAAAAATCCAATTATGATATACGAAATAGGAATTGACATAAATAGTCGAAATTATGACATACTACAGTCATAATTAAGATCAGAAAATTTAAATTAAGACAGTCATAAAAATGGAATTTAAAAACAGAGAAATTATGACTTGCTAAATCTTAATTGACATAGGCTACCAAGTCAAAATTATGAAATTAAAAAGTCGAAATTATAACACACTTAGCCAAATTATGACATAAAAAGGTGAATTTATAACAAAAAGTGAATGTCATAAATGAAAGTCATATTGCATTTCATAATACCAAATGCTTTCTATGATGCCATAGCAATAGCATGGACATAAACATGCCAAGACAAAAAGTCATGACTTTCTAAGTGGCCTAATATAGTAGCCTATTCCACACACACATCTCATTCACCCCGAAACTTATTCACACAGCTGACACGTACATCTGGTGTGAACGTTATTGTGTTATAATCAAAAGATTTTTAAGGGGACAATTTTAATTTACTTAAAGAAAACACTTTTCAAGCAAACATTTCACACACAAAAAAGTGTAGTGCTTGAAACCCAGACCATCACTTATCAGCAGACGCTGCCTGGTTTGATAAATACATAAACCAACCTCAAAACAGCTTGTTTAGGTAAATAAACAGAACTTGTGGGGAAATAAGCTTAATTTACCTTTCAGACAAGCTACAGGGACCGTCTTTAAACGTTCAATGACTGGTTTTTGGCATTATCTATCCCTGCTGTAGTAGCGGAAAGCTGTCGTGTCGTGGTCTACTTTCTCGAGGAGTCTGCCCTCATCTGGACATCTACTAGCATTACAGCAGGATATATGGGCAAGACTGCTCTGAAACACTTCATGACTTCATAACTTAAATTGGCTGTAGAAGACTTTGTATCACTTAGTTCGTAATCGTCGTCACTAAAAGCAAAAAAAAAAAAAAACTAGCGATGTAGTGGAGGAGCGCCCGACCGATTTACCCAGATATCCGCTCTTCGACCAACAGTAGCAGTGGCGCCATCTTGTGTCGCTCTACAAACTAAATAGCATCACCACAGTCCATAGGACACACATATTAGCCCGTCTATGATATTAGCTCGCGTACGGTAAATCATTCACAGTTCACACAACGGACATTAAGTTGTAAAATATTCATAAGAATATATTACAAACAATTTGATTTTAATACGCGTTACTATGGCTAACATGACGCTTTCCGGCAAGTGTTTCTAGTGTAGTCTTCTTAAAAAGGACTCGGTCTCACACAGGATCAGTTTTTTCAGTACTTCTCTAATGTTTTGTCATAGTTGAGAACAAACGTTATTCCAGTAGCATTTAAAGTAAGTTTTACCAACGTTAATTGGCTTTACAGTACTCAATATTAACACAAACCTGATTGACAGGAAAATTGTCACTGATTTATCAAATTTAGGAAAATGTCTAAGAACGGTCTGAATAGAGCTGTAGATCTTATTTGCAACACACACAACTTTCAAAAATCACAACCAAACAGTTTAAAAACCATGTTTAATCAAAATGGTTCTTTACATTATGAAAAATCTGAACTGGAAAAAGAAAAAAACCTCAAGTCACAAAAGCCAAATTTAATGGATATATAAATTTGACATTATCCTCAGAGCTGTTGTCCGACTTCAACATTCGAAACTTTCATATAGATTTATCTCTAATTACTACTAAATAGGTGTCAATTCCATGTATACGTTACAATATGCTTTGCACATTAAAAAGGTACTGCACATTAAACTTGCACCTAAAGGCAACTAAAAAAAAGATGAAATTAAATAAAAATTGAGGGAGAAGAATGGAAAAACACACTAACAAAAGAAACAAAAACAAACCGTAGCATGTACAACATGTACCTAAACCAGCAGAGCATAATTACAACATTCACATTTCATTTTTACGCGGATGGTTGGGACGTCTCAGAACTCTCACAGTTCATGGGGAGCGAGGGGTCGGGGGTCAGGGGTCACTGTACAGTTACTGACGCTTTCTGGAATGTCCTAGAAATGCTCTGACAAAAGTGGATTTAAGCAATGAAAACAGTTCATTCAATTACAGATTTAATCATCAAACTTAATCTTCTTTCCTTGTGGCCTGTCCCCAAATCCACCTCGTCCACCTGAGGGGGAGGAAAAAAAGAAAAAAAAATTTTTTTTTTTAATTTTCATCTTATTTATAATTCAATAGTGGTGTTGCTAAAATGTTCAGAACAGCACACTGCCAAATATGTAGTGACTAACATTAATACAAACTGACAGGGAAAAAGAAATATTAAATGGAATAAAGCTGCAAGCAGCAATGAACAGGTCGCATTGTTATTTTTTCTGTGCAATTTGCCATTTCTAGGTGTCGTACTTTAACTGTCCTTGAGTTTCATATTTGGCGAGTCTCATCTAAAAGGCCTTTGTGAAGATGTTAAGTTTGTTGCAGTCTTACAAAGTTTGTTTCGCCATGAAACGGGAAGCTGTAGTAACTCCAGGTCACTGCCACTCTGTGGCCTCGGGAAAAACGTGAACAAAACCGCAATATGCTTTTAAACCGGTAAATATAGGAGGATTATGATCATGCCACAGTTTCTGCAACCAGTAGGTGGCGCCATGACTCTGAATGTTGGCATGCTTGGCCCCGTTTATACCTGGTATTAAGATGCGCTTTGTTCGTTTTAAGCTTACACCACTTTCAACCACTTCCAGAGGTTGTTGAAAACACATTCGACTGGATTGCTTTGTAGTGTAAACACTCATGTGGTCCAATGTGTTCAAACAGCCACCAAAGACTGTCTACTGACCTAATGCGTTAACATTATGGGAAGAGCACTAGCCAGACGGGATTTAAACTTTGGCTATAGACCCAAGCTAGGCTTGAGGATGAAAAATGTACCAAACACAATGTTCTCTCTCCATTCCTGATTTCTAACACACTCTCACAGCATTCTTGCAGCTGTTCATATGTAAGTTGCGTGAGCTTATTTCATCCATTAGATCAAAAGAGCTGAAAAATCCCATACATTTACCCACCCCTCGAAGAAATCAGGACAGAAGTGGTTGAAAGTGGACTAAAGAGACGGATTAAAACACCAGGTGTGAACGGGAACGTGTCTCGCTCGTTTACGTGATCCGATCGACCGAAATGCATCATAATACCAGCTGTAAACATGAGTCCTGGCCTGAAGACATCCGGGCCCTATCAAACAAGTGAAGTTTGGGGCAGACTGGACCTGGTATGCTTGAGTTACTACAGCTTCCCATTTCATGGCGAAACAAACTTTGTCAGACTGCCATGAAAACTCAAGACCACCACAAACACCTTTAGATGAGACGCACCAAATGTGATGTTGATCGGATTAAAACCCTAGGACAGTTTAAGTACGACACCTAGAAATGGTTAGAGAGGTGAGGGGAACTTATAAACATTGTTGATGGCACTAATCAAGCCAATTTGGTGCTCGGGCCCTTATCATTCATTAGTGTGTTTGTGTCTCGCAAGGAATCAAGTGTTTTGGGTAGTTGACACCTACCTCCTCCTCTCCCTCCTCTGAAGCCTCCTCCGCCGCCGCCTCGTCCTCCTCGTCCGCCCCTGAATCCGCCTCCTCTACCGCCGCCCCCTCGGCCTCCGAAACCCCCGCGTCCGCCTCCTCGTCCTCCAAAGCCTCCTCTGCCGCCGAAGCCCCCGCCTCGGCCGCCCTCGCCCTTGGGCCTGGCGTAGTCCAGAGTCACTCTGCTGCCATCGACCTCTCCGTCATCCATGGCTTCTTTGGCCGATTTGCAGTCTTCTTCACTATCGAAGTCTACGAAACCGAATCTGGGGGAGGAAAACGTATTCAGTAAACATTCACGGGCGAAACCAGCGGCGGTTTCTGGATCGAAATGGCTAAAGATGTCTCACATCAGACATGGGTACTTTCCAATGAAACACCTGGAAACACCTGTTTGAGTGTGACTTTGAATCTACTTCTCGTGCGAATCCATACAACGCCACTGAACTGACAGAGAGGAGCTCATGAGAAGCAAAAACATCGGTTTCTGAGAGAATCAAACACATCCGTACCCTTTTGATGATCCGGTTTCTCTGTCCATGGCGACTCTGGCGCCAACGGCTCCATCAAAAGAGTCTCTCAGAGTCTGATCTGTGGTGTCTTCTGACAAACCTTTGACAAACAGGGTTTTTGTAGGTCCTACAAAGGGTGGAAAAAGCAGTTAGCACTGATTCTTACTAAGCATTTGCAAACAATAAGCTGATAAAACTTTAGTAAGCAGCAAATCTACAAACCAGAGTTTCCTCTTCCTCCTCCACCGCCTCGCTCTCGCTCGCTCTGACTGAACTCTAATCTGATGCTTCTGCCCTCAATATCTGTGTTGTTGCAATTCTCCAGCGCATCCTTGGCATCCTCCACATTATCAAACTCCAAAAATGCATATCTAGAAAAACAAAACATGACATTAGACCAGTCCAAGAAGCTGGAAAAAAAACCCCACCAAAACCACAAGATGCTTTGGATCACACCAAGACAAATGTTCAGATCCAAAATTCAAACATTTTACTTTCTCAATAGACATTAGCAGCCATTCATTGGGGATGTGAAAACTTGCATGCCATCAACACGTCACCACTCCTTTACGGATAGACATTCTTAGCACTGCAAATATGGTGGATTGATTGGCCAGCTTTCTTTAGTGTAAGAGCAGGAGAAAATTAAAAAAAAATAAAAAAAATTATGCTGCTTGATTTGACACTTGTTTGTGTTACAATATTAACTTTTTGTCACGCAAATAGCTTTAGAATTGAACGCACAGCCATTCTGATTATGAAAGCAAGTCTCACACGCACAGGAAATGGATGTTAATGGTGTAGCCTTCCCAAGCATACTCCATTTGATGCGCGCTAGAAAGTTTCACCGTTGTCCAGTGTCTGGGCTATTTTCCTCCAGAAGTTATGAGCGATAAAAATGTCTTTGTATTCTTTTGAACTCAAGTTGCCTGCATCTCAACCTGGTCAATGTGAGCGGTTGCCGCAGTCTCCAGTATTTTGTTGTTGTTTTGTAATCTCTTTAGTTTCGGGCTAGCATTACCACCTTGTGGAACTACTGATTAAGTGGCCTAGAAATCTAGACGCACCCTAGCGGCAGCAAAAATTATTTTGCAGCCAGTGTGGTCTAGCAACTCTCCGTTGGCTTTCGAAGTGGAAAAACCAAACTCTGGTCAGGCCAATCACATCATGTATAGAGTTGGTGGGCGGGCTTAACACAATGACGGCAGAGTTGTGACGGTTCTGAACCGTGATTTCCATAGGTGATTTCCCTCTGCTTGAAATTAGCATCACACTAACTATACACAGACCCTTGTGTATGCGTAAAACCCAGAGTACACTTTGGCATTTAGGTCACATGTCCAGAGCTGCTGCTGTTAAAAGAAAACTGCACATTAGTGGCGCTCACGAAGTAACTAATTTACCAAATAATTGCAAATAGAGGAAGAATCCAGGTTTCAGAAAGGGAAAAATTGCGCAATGCTTTTTGTACCAGAGTAACAGAGGCATCTACAAGCTCCACCTATTGTGTGATACTTCATTATTCAGCCAGTCTGACGTTTTATGCATTACTCGAGACAAATCACTGGAAAATCAGGCCTGATTTTCTTGCCGAACATTAGTGTTTGGTGTGACCGTGCATAAACAGACCTAATAACGTCTATTCCTCTTGATACTGTATCAATATACTCCTACACAGCCTTAAAGACACTACTGAAGCGCTGGACGTACCCCTTCGGCCTGCCGTTGTTCTGGGGTATTCTGATGGACACGGCCTTCTCAAACACACTCTGGAGGGAATCTTCAGTCGCGCTGAACGCCAGATTGTTTACGACAAGGACTTTGTTTGAAGCACCACCGGTTGATTGAGCTAGAAAACAAGACACATTAGCATTAATAAAACCAAAACAAGAACTAAAGACCCCTAGATGGCATCGTTACTCACATCTCCCGCTCTGCCGGCTCTTTTCCCCGGTGAAGTCTACCGTGATCGAGCGGCCCTGAACATCGGCGCCCTGTGCCTCTTCCAGCATCTTCTCGGCGATCTCCTCGGTCTTGAACTCAACGTAGGCGATTCTGTCACCAAAGTGGAGGATGTCAGTCAACCGTTTGCGCGAACAAGTTTTATTTGTCACAACACGAACAGTCACAGCTTAAGCTTACCCTCGGCTTGAACCGTTGCTGCCCATCGGTACTCTAATATCAACAGCCTGGTCAAAGAGTTCCTTCAGGTCGTCTTGCGTTACGGAGTAGGGGAGGTTCTTCACGAATAAAGTGCGTGCATCTCTCTCTGAGGGGAGAAAAACGATAAAACGTTGGCTTCTGGAAACTCAAGTCATCTTATAGCATGGCGACGGATCCAGATCAGTACTTGACCATCGTGGAATCCACATGAGAGTTCAGGTGTTTGATAAGCTGACATCACTTCTAGACTCGGTTGGATTGACGTTCGAAGCCTCAGCTGTAGGACATTACCTTTTTTGCTTTCCTGGGAGTCCTCCTTGCTCCTGGCCCGGTCGAGTTTCAGCGGCTGGCCCATCAGCTTCTTGCCATTGAGGGCCAAAGCCTTCTGCAAATCCTCTTCAGATGAAAAGTCAACGTAGCCAAATTTCCTGCAAAAAGAAATTTGGAAGATTCATTTAAGAGTCAAATCAACATTCGCAATGCCTTCGCTTAACAAATTTGATGATTTAAAAAAAATAAAAATTCTCCTTACTTGGTCCCACCCAGTCGCACATCCTGAATTTCAAGGCCTTCCTTTGAGAAGAACTTGGAGATCGCAGATTTAATTTCATCGAAGTCCTTATTGCAGTTCAAGTTGCCCAAATAGAGACTGAAACCTGAAAGTTTACACCAAAGTTAGTTCACAATTCCACGACAAGGAAATACACCCTTTTCCTTAAACTAGCATCAGAATTGATAAAAAAGGTGACATCACATACATCAGTATTAAGTCCCTTTTGATCATCATATGTAGTTAAATGTGCAAGAACTACAGAGTATAGAGCGCAAGTCTCACCCTCGCCATCAGTTTTAGCTTTCTTAGCAGGCGGTGTTCCCTTCTCTTTTTTAGCCTCCGCTTTCCTCTTCCCTGGAGTGACCGGGGTTTCTGGAGAGCAAAACATGGGAGTTTTAGAAAGGAACGTCTGCCAAGCTCCAAAAACACAATAAAATGTAACAAAAACTTTACGGTCATACCTTCTTCCTCGTCATCATCGTCGTCTTCATCATCATCATCATCTTCGTCGTCATCTTCAGATTCCTCCTTTGCTTTCACCATTCCTGCCTTTTTGGCCTTGGGCGCAGGAGTCGTGTCCATTTCCTCTTCTTCTGAATCTGAGAAAACAATCAAAATCATTTGAGAAAACCATAAAAACCATAAAAACAAAAAAAGTTAACGTAAAAAAAAAACATCAGCTCCACAGTATCATCCAAATCATTCAGTATTAAGTCCCTTGTGGTTCATCATATGTGCAACTTTTTAGATATAAAAAAAAAGTAAAGCCATTCACACACCATCATCTTCGTCGTCATCATCATCATCAGATTCCTCCTTGGCTGCGGGAGCTTTAGCTTTAGCTGCAGGTTTAGCGGCCTTTTTAGGAGGCGGGGTTTCTTCCTCCTCAGATTCATCTAAACAGGAACACAAGTTTAGACCGGGATTCACAACTACGCTGCGTTCAGAGTGAAAATGACTTCATATAAACGTGAAGGCAGGCAGTCTGTGATGCCAGAGTGTTTCGTACCGTCGTCGTCTTCATCGTCGGACTCCTCGGCAGGGGCCGCTTTGGCCGCTGGAGCCGCTTTCTTGGCCGGCGTGGCTTTGGCGGGTGCAGCTTTCTTGGGTGGGGGGGCCTCTTCCTCCGACTCCTCTGCGCAAGACAGGAAATGGTGCAAATGGAGTTGTTAGAAGGTCATATTGTCTTGAAATTACACAACACGAGGGTTGTGCATCGGCACACATTTTACGATACGGTTGATATTCAGATGCAGAATGTAAAACTATTTGGGGGGAGGCTTACGAATAATCTAAACTACTTATACACACATTTATACACTAAATTGTCAAGCACCATGGCCAACAAAGTCATTTTCAAATGTGCTACACATGTACATATAAAAGTTGTACATTACAAATCAATTTTTAAACCATCAATGTTTTAGTATACAAACAATAATGATATAATTGGCTTTTACTCCCAATTTGCTTTTTAAATACACACTTAAACAGCGGCTGTCATAAATGTGCAAATAAATCAAAGAACTCAAGTGTTTAAGTAAAAACAGAATGATTTTTATAGCAGACTAACAAATTTGTTCATTGAACGGCTCTGGGGCAAATATAACGTTACGCGACTTATAGTTTACAACCCGTTTTGACGTCTTCAATAAAGTTAACGTTTATAGTAAGTGGTTCGGTGTATTTGAACATTCCTTCAGATGTTCATTCGTGTTTATTTGGTGCTGTAACTTGCAGTAAAGAGCTGATCAGTCCACATGACTGAGGCGCTACAGCATCACAAAGGCCATTATGAATTTCAGAATAAAATTGACATTTTGAAACCAGAGACTTATATAATCAACAGCATGAAGCTTGTTGCGATTTATTGGGTGGAAGGTGTGCCACAAATAACGGCTAGTGAACTCACATCAAACACTGAACAAATAACGATTCTTGGGATGGAAGAATCGATATCTGCTCTCCAAAATGAGAATAGATTAAACATACTGTTCTTCGCCAGTGTTTTCATACCATCATCATCCTCGTCCTCGTCACTAGACTCCTCAGCGGGCGCTGCTTTCTTAGCCGGGGTCGCTTTAGCAGGCGTGGCCTTCTTCGGGGGGGGAGGAGCTTCCTCTTCTAATGGGAAGAGCAGACTAGTTAGACGTCAGGCTTGGGATTAAAGAGCACTGCAAAGTTGAGAAAAACAGGAAAGATTTCCGTACCTGATTCATCATCATCATCATCGTCGTCATCCTCGC